GGTTCTGGGTATTTTGTTTTTTCTTTCAGTTCTGTGTTGGGTTATTTGCTGTTCCCACCACTTAAACTCTGCACTGGAACTAATCTGTAGTCCTTTGCTTACTTCTAAAATGGGGGAAGTTCCTGTGGGGACCAGCACTTGAGCTCTGTGGTTGAGCTAAATTGTTGCTTTGCTGCTGATTCCAATGGAAGGCTTTCTGTGCAGCTCAGGTTTTAATGGTTGACTTTATAGGTACCTCTGGGTCTCATGAGAACCAGTACACCTGGGTTGTGTAGAAACTCTGGTCTGGGCCTGAGTCTTTCAGCAAACTGCATCCCTTGTAGTTCTATATTCCTGACCAGTCTCCACTGAGTGGTCCTATGCTGAATGGGGGCGCAGATCAGCTGTCTTTGCTGTGCCCCAGCGTTTCCCCAGTGGGCCTGTCTCCCCCACCACCTGCGCTCTAAGCACTTTCCATGGGATGAGCTGTGCACTGGTCCCTTGCAATGACTCACCGGCCTCTGAGTGGCTCCTTTTTTTTCAGTTGTTGTGGCTCCTTGCTCCTAAGTGGGTCCATGGGTACCCTATTAGTGGTCTTGTTTGCCTGGGGGCCACCAAGGCCTTCTTCTCCTCTGCTGCCTCCAAGCAACTTCATCTGAAGGGCACAGCTAAGGCTTTTGCCAGCTCTTGCTCCGTGTGCTCACCAGTGCCAGCCTGGAAGCGGCTAGGATTTAACATGGTTGGAGTAGTTTATTTTCTCTCATCCTGGCTTCTCCCACCTTCATGCACTCTGTAGGTCTCTCCTCCTCTTCCCCTGAGCTCTAGCTGCCCCAGCTTGGCTGTTGTTGCTTTTTAATAGTTGTAAACTGGTTGATCTGTGGGAGAGAGTGATGCTGGGGACTGTCTATTCTGCCATCTTGACCGGAAGCTGTATGCTGTATTTAATCTTTACTGTTGTGTCATTTCCTGCTGTGAGAGTCTTTTGGTGGTAGAGACAAGGAATCAGAAATAGCTTTATTTTTTAACTTAGCAAGTCTTGGCTTCTTTACATTCCCTCTAAATTCTGAAGACACCACTTGACAATTTCAACATTCTGATTGGAAATCTCCTTAATCAAATCCACAAGATTGTTAAAGTGCCTTTTCCATTTTTCATTACATACCCTTTCTATTTTTTTTTTACATTACTTCAGGCAACAGTGTTGTTAAACTTTCTGTCACTATATAACCTTTAATCTAACTGTATTAGTATGCTGGGGTATCATAACAAGGTACTACAAACTGGGTGCCTTAAACAACAGAACTGGCTGGCTTAAATAACAGAAATTTATCGCCTCACAATTCTGTAGGTTATATATTTAAAAAAATCAAAGTAAATGCAAAATAGCCTGATGAATAAAATATCAATATTTGAAACAAACAAACAAACAAACAAACAAAAAAGAAGTTCAAGATCAAGGTATTGGCAGGGTTGGTTCTGCCTAAGGGCTGTGAGGAAGAATCTGTTCCATGTCTTTCTTCTAGGTTCTAGTGGTTTTCTGGTAATCTTTGGTATTCCTTGGCTTGTAGACCCATGACTCTGCCTTCATGTTCACATGATGTTCCTCCTGTTCCTCCTCCAAATTTCCCCTTTTTAAAGGACATCAGTCATATTGGATTAAGGCCCATCCTAACGTCCTTAGTTTAACTGGATTACCTCTGTAAAGATACTATCTCCAAATAAGATCACATTTGAGGTACTGGGCATTCGGACTTCAACATACGAATTTTGGGTGAACACAATTCAACTCATAACACCAATCTTCAAAGACAATTCCCTCACTGTCTTTCAAGACTTCCCTTGAGGCTCTTTTAGCTTCTGACCGCCCCCTGTTGAAAGCCAATGACATATTTTTTTTGTTATAGCAGAATCTAAGTTCACCAATGTTAGTATATCATTTATGAGCTAATCAGGGAAGCAGCACCACGATATAATAAACGATGTACTACAAACTGGGTGCCTTAAACAACAGAACTGGCTGGCTTAAATAACAGAAATTTATCGCCTCACAATTCTGTAGGTTATATATTTAAAAAAATCAAAGTAAATGCAAAATAGCCTGATGAATAAAATATCAATATTTGAAACAAACAAACAAACAAACAAAAAAGAAGTTCAAGATCAAGGTATTGGCAGGGTTGGTTCTGCCTAAGGGCTGTGAGGAAGAATCTGTTCCATGTCTTTCTTCGTCATTTTTAGTGTTTTTCACAAAAGTATGTCTGTGACAGATTGGAAATAAAAATCCTGATCTTTCACCACAGATGGTTTGAAAAGCATTTGGTTTAGGATAAGATTTTCAAATGTTGATTTATGTCCCTTTGCCCCATAACATAACATTAGGTATTAAACTTTGAATAAAGAGAAAAGAGCATCATTTATAATTCTAGTATCTTAAGAAAACAGCTTGATGACACTGAATGATTAATAAGCTAAGGACTGGATAGTAGAACTGAAGTAGACATATTCTGTTTCCTGTTAAGGGCAGGTCCGTATGCTCTAGTGACCACTAAGTGGGAGCTGGTGTTGACAATCCTCATAAGAAAATTAGGAAGTATACGCAGGATTTGTGCCCAAATGAAGGTGAGCTATTGCCAAATTGAGATTTTTAAATCAGGGCAGGGTTTCAGGTCCTCAGTATCAGTCTTGCAAGATAAATATTACCACGCCTATTTTACATGTGAGGAAATGAAGCCTTCTATTTACTCATAGGTGAGCAAATGGGGAAGCCTGGATTCTACCCCATATTTGTGTGGTAGCCGCCTTCCAAGAGTGCCTGGTATTCATGCCCTTTTGCAGTTCCCCTCCCACAATAAATAGGGTTGACCTGAATAATAGATAAGGAGAACGTTGCAGAAATGATGGTGAATGACTTTCAAGGCTGGATCATAAAAGGCACTACCTTCTACCTTTCTCTTTTTTGGATCACTTGCTCTTGGGAAAGACAGCTGCCTACTGTAAGGACACTCAAGCAGCCTGTGGACAGGCTCACGTGGGGAAGAGCTGAGCCTTCTGTGAGCAATCAGTCAACATGAATGCAGCATCTTGAAAGTAGATTCTCTAGCACCAGCCTAGTCTTCAGATGACTACAGCCCCATATTTTGACTGTAACCTCATAAGAGACCTCAAGTCAGAACTATACAGCTAAATGGCTTCTAAATTTCACTCCCAGGGGCTAGCTGCTTAGCTCACTCGGCAGAACATGGTGCTGATAACACCAAAGTCAAGTGTTTGGAACCCTGTACCAGTCGGCTTCCAAAAAAAAAAAAAAATTGACTCAGAAAATATGAGATAATGTCTATTATTGCTTTAAGTTACTAAGTTTTGAGGTAATTGGTTATGCAGCAATAGACAACTAATATAATCTGTTAGATTCCAAAGCACAGCTTTTTCCATGACATCATGCTGCTTTAAAAATTTTTTGGATTGTGAGAATGGGGATTACAGAAGAAGTAGGAATTTAGAAGTTCAGAATGTCCTGGCCATGTGATTAAAAAAAGGCTTCGAAATATGTTTGGTGTTTCCAGATACTCAGAGAGAAGGAGTGTCATCTAGTGGTTAAGCTGAACCTTCAGAATTAGGAGAGTTTCTTTTTTGTCACTACCAGGGTCAGCTGAGTTGGCATGAGGAAATTAGTTTTTGCTGACTGGAAGACTTAGGCTGGGATTGGGGAAGATAAATGACAGAAACTGGATTCTAGCAGGGCAAGAAAAGTCCTGACACAAGGTGTTGAAGTGGGGTGTAACCCCCAGGGTTGTCACAGTGAGGGGCTGACTGTCTCTTAGCTTCTGCCCCTTCTCTTCAACTGGGCCATTTCTTTCTTCTGCCCCACCAGGTTCTCTTTTAACCTTAAATTCATTGAAGCAGCTCCTTTTTCTGCTCTTTCTAAATCCCCCTTCCTTATGATGATCTTTTCCTTTATTTAAAAAAGATAAGTGATATATGTGTGCATTTAGAAACTTAAAGTAAACAAAACCAAACTTTATCTGAGAACCACCTTTTGAAAACTCTTGGTATTCATTCTTCTCTCCATATTGTCCAGATTTGGTCTAGTATTGGAGAGGCACTGTGCTTGGTGACTTCATCAGATCAAAATCAGCCAGCAATAGTTATTATCTAGGATGCTAGCACTGAAAGAACCCTTCCAGAACACCTGGTGCACCCACGCTCTTTTCATGTGGAGAATTTGAAGCCCAAAGAGTTCAAGTGACCATTGTTAACAGATATTAATGAACAGCTACAATCAGGAGGACGTTCTTCTAGACTTGAATAAGCTCTTTTAAATAGTCCACCCATTCTGATTAGTAAGATGGGTGGAGTGATTAGCTGGGGTCCTCCCGGATTTCCTATTATGCAAGCACACAAACATCAGGGACAATAGCATTACCCAGGTCAAATCCTTCCTAAAATGTGAACTGACCCCTAACATCTGGGGGTTCGAAAGAAAAGGTTGCCGGACCCTCAGACTTCTAAACCTACCTTAAACCTCGACTCCGTTTCCCCGGGCCCCGTACAGAGTAAGCATCAATAAACGTTTGCGAAAGGACGAACCAACTTCCTCAGAGGTCCTTTACTGCTTCTCCTCCCCCTCTGCATCCTCCCCCACTTGGGACTACGTTAGCACGTGAGCCCTGTCGGGCCTCCTCAGACAGTGACTCCGTCCCCAGGGCAGACCCAGGGCTCCCCTTTCTACAGCGGTGCGCCAGCCAGGGCCGGGTAGGCTGCTCACCCCATCTCTCGCGCTTTTCCTCCGGATCGGGGGCATTTTTGGGGGGTGTTCGCGAGCTGGTCTGGGAAACTTTAGGGAGTCTCGTGGTGGTGGTGTTCACCGCCCCACCTAGGAGGGCAGAGGTGAACCTACCCGCGACCCCGCGCCCCAGCTGTAGCACGCGCGGCTCTGGGCGGGCGCAGAGTGGGCGGGGCCTGTCGGGGGCGGGGCCTGCCGTGGTCAGGTGACTGCGAGGCGGGCGGCGGCAGCCGAGGCCGAGGGGCGTCAGCGGCACCCAGGGGTCGGCGGAGCAGGCAGGGCAGGCGGGGCCGGCGGGTGCAGTCGGGGGAGCAGGGCCGCGGCCATGGGGGGCTTGAAGGATGAGCTGCTCAAGGCCATCTGGCACGCCTTCACCGCGCTCGACCTGGACCACAGCGGCAAGGTCTCCAAGTCCCAGCTCAAGGTGGGCGCCCCCGCGCCGATCCCCCGTCCGGCCGGCCGCGGCGCGCTCTCCACTTCCCTCGGGTGGCAGTCGGACCAGGCGGGCGGTGACCGCAGGAGGGGCGGGCTGGAATGCGGCCGGGCGGCCTGCTCGGGACGGAGGGGGCAGAGACCGGGAGCCGGCGCTTTCTTCTTCCCTTTTACCTTCGGGCCGTGCTGTCGGGCGGGTGTGTTAGTGCCCTCGGGTCTCCCAGTGAGCTGGGAAAGACTGGGGTGGGGTTTGTGGGGAGCGAGTCAGGTTCCCTGTTGGCGCGGGGGGCCCACAAAGTTTCTGACTCTGAGAAGGAGGTGGGACGCTCCCTTACACAGCCTTCCCAGAGTATCCACCTTACTCTGGGAGAGGAAGGGACTTGCCCAAAGTTCCTGGGCAGAGCCTTGTGCAGCCCACGGCCCCACACCGGGGCGGTCCTCAAGACGGCCCGCTGCACCCGAGGCGCCTGGGTCGTTCAGAGAAACGCCCCAGAGCCCGACTTCCAGCGTCCTCCTCCTTTGGGAGGCTTTGGCTATGAGGGACAATTTCCGACTTGTGAAGACCTCCCCGCCCAGCGTCTTCTGGTCTAGAACTAGTCAAGAGGGTGTGCTGTGTCCTGCAGGGACCTTAGTTCCGGTTGAGGAGCACTGACAGATCTTTCTGGCGCGCAGAGTCGTTATGGTGACTGCCAAAGACCCCGTCACTCAGAGTGTAAGGTATAAATAAAGGAATGCTTGTACACTCAGTAACCCCAAGCAAGGAAAGTGGCACTCAGCCAGGAGAAATTGGCAGCTTCTTGAAAGTATAAAATATAGAAACAGACAAGAAGAGCCATTCACAGGCGTTTTTAAATATACACATTTTGGATCTGAATGTCTGGTTTTCTTAGCCTCTTCTGGGAATCAATTTCTGGAGGTTGGATTTGCTTTGTGTATTTTTTGTGGTCATCAGTTGGTTCTCGTGAGCAGAGGCTTTTATGGCAGTAGGGCTTAGCATCCCCCCTTGTCTTCCTTTTGCCCTCCTCTTTTTCTCATCCATAGAATCATAGTCTGGAAGGGTCCATGGAGATTATCTTATTAATTTTTATTTTACTTTATATTTTTAAAATTATCATACAGTAAAATTGACTTTTTGGTGTATAGTTCTATGAGTTTAAACACGTGTGGGTTTCATCAGTTTCGTCATCCCCAAAACCTTCCTCATCCCAAAAAGCCTCCTCAGGCTGACCTTGCCCCCAGCTGCTGATAAACACTGATCTGTTCTAACTGTTATAGTTTTGCCTTTTCCACAGTGTTACGTAGGCGGACTCTCATAGTGTGTAACCTTTTGAAACTTGCTTCTTTTACTCAGCATAATGCCTTAGAAATTCAGCCATCTTGTCATGTGTATCAATATAATTCTTTTTGTTGCTAAGTAATATTCCATCATAAGGATGTGCCATAGTTTATCCATTCATCCTTGAAGGTTTATGTAATTTCCAGTTTCTGGTGATTATGAATAGCTATATTTTACTTTTTAACGTTTTAACTTTTAACTTACCTATACCACTATGTTTAAAGTGGGTTTCTTGTAGATAGTGTGTAGCTGGGTCTTGTTTTTTATTGATTCTGACAATCTCTGTCTTTTAATTGGTATGTTTAGAACATTTACATTTAATGTAATTATTACCTTGGATCGATTTAAGGCTACCATTTAATTATTTGGTTTCTATTTTTTTTAGTTTTTTGTTCTTCTGTTTCTCCTTTCCTTCCTTCTTTTGGATTATTTGGATATATTTTAGTGTGCCATTTTAATACTGAGCTTTTGACTCTATTTCTTTGTGTAGTTTTTTTAATGGTTGCTCTAGGAATTACAATATCCATACATAACTTTTCATAGTCTATTTAGGAATAGTATTTTACCACTTTAAGATGAATGTAGAAACCTTGTCAACATATAGGTCCATTTACCCTCCCTGCTTTATGTTGTAATTGTCATATTTATTAATATACATACATTGAAAACCCCAACAGACAATGCTAATTTTTGTTTTCAATCACCATTTCTATTTTAAAGATCTTTTTTTTTTTTTTGTCTTTTGTCTTTTTCCGTGTCCGGCAACGGATCGCAACCCTCAGTGTTGCCCCCGTACCGGACCGGGGACCAGCAATGGGATCGCAACCCTCAGTGTTGCTCCCGCGCCTCGCTCAGCCAGTGAGAGGGAACCGGTCTTTATGTGGGATCCGAACCCTCGGGCAGGAGCGCCGCCACGCTTCCCAAGCGGCACACTATCCAGTGCGCCACCGGGCCGGCCCCTATTTTAAAGATCTTAAGAGAAGAATAGTTTGTTCTTTTTTCCTAGGTCTTCCTAGACTACCCATTTATTTTATGGATATGGTATGTGAAACTTCTGCCATGTTTAGCGATTTGTGCAAAGTCACAGTTGTAGGCATAGCTAAGTCTAGAACTAAGATTTTCACATTTTTGAGTCAAAGTTTCTTCATTTTCTTCTTTTTCAATTGATGGCATTAAAGAGATGTTTTCCTATTGCTTTTGTTGTACTCCATTCAAACTTGTCTTTGTGTTTGTTTATAAGCAAAAGTGTCCAGAGGATTCTTGACAGCAGGCTTGGAAGGAAGTGTTAAATTTCAGTTCACAGCTTTCACTCACAAGATGTTGATAGGCAAATTTGTGATTTTATTTTGTCTCTCCCTTGTCTTTGTAAGAGACATTGGGTTTGATTCATTTCTGTTCATTTTGCCAGTGTTTGTGGAATTGAAAATATTACAAAATATTAAAGATTTTCTATTCAAGTCTCTTTGTGTTTAACTCTGATGTTCAGTGTTAGTTGGATAGTAGAGTTTTTGCCTTAATTTGTTCACTCATTCATTCATGCAGTAATCTTTTGTGTGTCTACTGTATGTAAGGTACCATGTAATTTAATACACTGGTTAGTATTTTTAGGTTTTTAAGAGTTAGTATCTTCTTGGAGGAAATATGTAATTGATCTGTTAGGAACAGATTAAAATATACATATCCAAAATGATGGTTAAAATTTATCACTTTGGAAAGCTATATGGGTATTCTAAAATATTTCTGACA